GGGCACCTGTGGTTCCAGCTACTTGGGAGGCTGAGGCAGGAGACTCGCTTGAGCCCAGAAGTTGGAGGATGCTGTGAGCTGTGATGCCACAGCACTCTACCCAGGGGGACAGTTTGAGGCTCTGTCTCAAAAAAAAGAAAGTGAAGTGTTGATAGGGAAGAGCATTCAAGGTAGATGGGTATTGTGGAGGCTACTCAGGAAATGGCTGAATGGGTTTGAAGACTCACCAGGGAAATCCATTTTGGCTAGAGCCTATGGTAAGGGCAGGAGATGAGGGTGGAGTTGCAGCTGGAGGTCAAGGCAAGGGCCTTCTGGCGGATTTATTTCAGTTCCTGGAAATTACCAAGCTCTTTCCTGCCTTAGTCCTGGACCCTTGCAGATCCCAGGAATGTTCTTCCCTGATTCTTCCTTCAGGCCTCAACTGAAATGCCACTCTTTCTTTGTTCTCCTTTTCAGCACCCCAGTTTCTTCGTGTGGTAACTATGTTTAAATTGCTTTCATCTGTTTCAGTGTTACTGTATGTCTCCCGGGGGCAGGGCCCTTCACTGTTATTGCTCACCCTGTGTCTCGGGCTCAGCAGTGTGCCTGCCCGCATTGGTGCTCAGGAGCATGTGTTGGGCGAATGTATGAAAGAACAGAGCTGCCTTCGAGGTCCAGGCACCATCCCTTAATAGCTGTGTGATCTTGTATGAGTCACATAACATAATGTATGGTGGTTGGTTTCCCCTTCTGTAACATGCAGATTATGCTCCCTAACACAAAGGGGTTTTGTGAGGCTCAAGTGAGGTAGTGCATGTACTAGAAGAACCTAGCAGGGTACCTGGCTCCAAAAGAGGTGCTCCGAAGTGTTAATGGTCTTTCCTGCTTTTTGATGACAGTTCTGTGCTCTTTACTTCGCTGTGACGGATGATGAGCCGGGACCTTGCTTAGCCCCAGCTGAGCATCCCTCTTTCCAGGAGGATGCTGTGGCAGCAAAAGTGGGAGGAACAAGAGGGGAGGGAAGGGATAAAAGGAAGCAACTGGTGGTTGTTTTTTCATTTTCTTGTTTTATGTCTTTTTTTTAAAGACAGGGTCCTGCTCTGTCCTAGGACTATAGTGCAGTGGCACTATCGTAGCCTTCTGCAACCTCAAAGTCCTGGGCTCAAGTAATCCTCCTGCCTCAGCCTCCCAAGTAGCTGAGATCATAGGCTCATGCTACCACACCTGGCTAATTTTTCTATTTTTAGTAGAGACAGGATCTTGCTATGTTCAGGCTAGTCATGAACTCTTGACCTCAAGTGATCCTCCCACCTCAGCCTCCCAGAGTGCTAGGGTCACAGGTGTGAGCCACCAGGCCTAGCTTATTTTTCTTTTTAAATTGTATTTATATACTTATTTATTTATTTATTAGACAGAGTCTCAAGCTGTCGCCCTGGGTAGAGTGCTGTAGCATCCCAGCTCACAGCAACCTCTAACTCCTGGGCTCAAACGATTCTCCTGCCTCCACCTCCTAAGTAGCTGGGACTATAGGCACCCACCACAACACCCAGCTATTTTCTGGTTGCAGCTGTCTTTGCTGTTTGGCGGCCCTGGGCTGGATTCGAACCTGCCACCTCTGGTGTATGTGGCTGGCGCCTTAGCCGCTTAAGCCACAGACACTAAGCCTTAAATTGTTATTTAAATAGTTTTTAATTGTTAGGATAATAAAGCTGAGGTAGGGGGATCGCTTGAGCCTAGGAGTTTGAATCTTGCCTGAGCACCATAGTGGAACCCTGTTTCTATTAAAAAAAAAAAAAATTCCTTCACCCTCCTTTTTTTTTGCCCCTTTTCACAGAGAAATAAAGGTCTAGAAATAGTTAAAAAGAAAAAGAAAAAGAAAAAAGTGCTTCTTAAAAGTTCAAAGTACTGGGCAGCACCTGTGGCTCCAAGGAGTAGGGCACCAGCCCCATATGCCGGAAGTGGTGGGTTCAAACCCAACC